TACCTTATTTGTGTATTGTTCCCATACGTCTTTATCAAAAAATACACCCTCGATCAGGACCGGCCTAAGGCAATCTAGGTCATTGCCTTGGACCCCAATTCTTGAGGGGCCTAAAAAAATTAAAAGCCAAAAAATTCAACAAAAAAATTCATTTCTTTTTTGAGTTGGGTCCTTTATTCTATTTAAAAGATATGACTAAATAACATAATTGGCTAAATAAGAGGTCCAAAACACTTGGACACCTGCATCTTTAATGAGCTTAATTAAAAAAAAAAAAATCTCTCATAATTTTTTAGTAAGCTTATAATTTTTTATAAAAAAAATTAAAAAATTAGTTTTTATGAAAGTTAAAAACAAGTTATTTGTTTTGAAATGGCTCATTTTTTTTTTCAAAAATAATATAAAAAGATCAATTTGAATAGAACATAGATGATACTAAAGAGATCAATACGTTTATAGAAAATTATATTTTAGAGTTTCGTATTAATTTGTAGATCAGGACCTCGATTAGAGCTTTACTGAAAATCAAAACCTTACAAATTCTCCCTCGTAAATGTCAATGTCACTAGTTATAGAAGTACACATTATTTAACTATTTTTATTACTTTACACCTATTGCAGGAGAAGGACAAAGGGGGCATATTATATATGAAATGGGAAAAAAAAAAAGTAAATTGAAATCAACTAATTTCTGGACTTTGGAGCAAATGTACACAAGAAACAAAAATAAATGTGGTCAAATATTAATAATACGTTTTAGTGCACCTGAAGTGCAAATTAATTTAACATAAATATTATACGCCCTTGCTGTACATCTAGCGTAACACTTCTTGCATCTTTCTCTTACCGCTTGACACGTAGCAGATTCTAAATTGGGACCACTTTATAAAAAAAAGGCAGCATCTACACGCTCATTGGTCCGCGCGTGTTAATCAAGACTTTAGTGAAATATCTATAATTATCCGGAGCATGACGTGTATCAATGCAGACATAAAAAGTTTTAAAGCCACGTGACCCCCCTACCCCGCAACAAAATATCGACCCCATCCCTTCGAACTCTACGTTACCACATATTTACACAGCACTCGTTAATTGATTTAATTTTTAACCTAGAAAATATTATAAATTTTCACCTTTCGTTAATTTGCAGACGAGAGAGGAGTGAAGTTGAGTTTTTAGAAAACGTAAATTGCATGAAAAATGTTTCTTAATCCTCTACTAAGAAAATAGTTTCTTTATTTTCGAGAAAATATGGTTGTTACCAACTTTTGGAAAATATTTTTTTATGAAAAATGACAGTCAAACACCCGAAAAGTAAAAATGCGGTGAAATAATGTCATTTTTCATGAAAAATAAAATCAATAAAGCACACCCTTAAAATTTAGATGATTGTCAACGTATATTTACATAAAAAATAACGTTATTTATGAAAACCAATAACCAATAGTCAATAGACAACAATTTATGTGGTATTTTCACTGTCGCATTTTTCGATAAATTGAAATACAATACCCGTGGAAATGATCTCGTTCTCACATAAACTTTTGTTGGTGGTGTTCAAAATAATGATATTTGTATTCATTCGTAACCATAACCGTCTATGCGATAATGGATCATCGATTCATTCGGTTCGATCCGATTCGATTCGGTCCGACTAGCTCAAAAAATTCACATTGACCATCCCCTTTTTAACCCCACTCCCTCGCCCACTCCACCTTATATTATGGTGCCCTTCCACAGTCAGGATTAAATGCGAAAGTTTTTTGTCTTGGCAGACACCGTTATCTTCACCTTCTCTGGCCATTTCTCTTTCCTGTTCATCTGAATCCCTTATTAAAGAGAAAAGGAGGTGAGAAGAAAATGAACGTGCACGGAATGGAAAGTAATAACAATATTGTGGCGCTGTTTGTTATGAAAACATACCAAATGGTGAATGATCCCACAACGAATGAGCTAATTACATGGGGAAAGGCTAATAATAGTTTTGTTGTTGTGGAGCCTTTGAGTTTTTCGCAGAGGATTTTGCCTGCTTTCTTCAAGCACAACAATTTCTCAAGCTTTGTTCGTCAGCTCAATACTTATGTGAGTTCTTGTCACCAGCAATTCTATATTGTTTTGTAATTTTTATATCATTTTCTTGGCTTATTATTGGTTATCAGAATAGATATTGTGAGTATCTGGGTACTGTAATTCTATTTTGTTTGTAATCTCAATTTGATTTTTTTTTTCTTTTTTATTCAATCCCAATTTAATTTGAACTCAGGAGAATTTTGAATCAAACCAGTTGTGTACGTAGCAAGAAGAATCATAGACAGAGGCAAAGGGTTTTTTTTTTCTTCATGGAAGATGAACAGTTGTTATACCTGACATTTATTGGAAAATTTTGAGATTGGCCTGCTTGGTGTTAATAATTTTTATTCATTATAATAATAATTATTTATATACAAAGAAACTGCATCATGTTGAAAGCATAAGTGTATCAAGCAAAACTCTTTAATTGAGAGTTTCAAATTTGTTAGGTAGATTATACTTCCTTGCATGCATATATCTATTCAAGAAACTATACCTAACATCATATTGAAAGCAAAGCCTATATATGTTGTAGTTTCAAGTTCGTCAACATAATCTTAAGATTTGGAGAGTGGATTATCTCCTTTCTTAACTTCGCAAACTTACTAGTTTTGGGGTTTATAATTTGATTTCTTTAACCTTTTTTCGGTGGCATGAGGAGGCAGAGATTACAGTTGAGACCTCAAAGAGGAGAGGTTTATATAGTTTTGTCTTGTTCTTTGTTTTCCTTTGTAAATTGGATGGGGGTAAGGGTAAATGCAAAGACTTGTTTCTATTCCTCGTTCAAGAAAGTAAGCTGCGAAGTTTGATGATCCTCTGCAGGCAAAAAATAACTTCAATTTACAAAATTGGTTATTGAAAAATAACTTGGATTCACAAAAATTGCTGCGGAAACGTTAATTTGCTCTTAAAAGACGTTTTAAATCAATTTATTCACCGAGTCTAGAGGGCTCTAAGAAAGGTTTCCAAATTTATTGTTCATGGCAAAATGCTGATGCAAGTAGATAAATTACCTAAATGGATTGAGCATGTTGTATAGTCTATGTTGTACATTGAAATCCTATGTTCCTCTGCCATTTGTGTGTGAATTATTGCAGTATGATATAAGCTCTCTTGATACATTCTTCATGTCCATGTTGTGCATAATTAGTAAATTAACTTGATTGTTTAGAGCAGGATGATTTTGTTCAAGTCGAGCTTGAATTTTGCAAGATCAATCCTGTTTTTCCACATCTTTATTTGTCAATGTAAGCTGAACTTACCATTCAAAATTGTAGTAATATTTCTCAACTTCGATGGTAGTCTCCATGTCCCTTTTTGATCTGGTTTAACAAAGAATTGATATAGCCTCCATTTGGAAAAATTTATAAATCAATTTATAAAGAAGAATAGTGGTGAGTTACATGAAATGCGTGGATAATAATCAGTAATACTTATGAATGTGTGGTTGAAATTAAATTTTGACTTTTGACTGAATTTATACACCAATTTATAAATTGGATCCAAATGGTCATATAATCATTTTGATCACCAATTGCATCAGGGTTTTAAAAAGGTTGATCCTGATAGGTGGGAGTTTGCAAATGAATGGTTTCTACGAGGACAAACTCATTTGTTGAAGAACATAGTGAGAAGGAAGCATAGTACTAAAACCTTTGGTTCCCATCAAAAACACGAAGATGATGAAGATGAAGAGCTATTGATGGAGATTTCCAAGTTGAAACAAGAACAGAAGGGTTTGGAACGAGAGCTCGAAAGTATGAACAGAAGGCTTGAGGCAACGGAGAGGAGACCACAACAGTTGATGGCTTTCCTAAACAAACTTGTTGAAGATCCTGACATCTTAACTCACGTGATGCTCAAAAAAGAGAAAACGAAAAGGTTGACTTTAGGTAAAAACGAGAAGAAGAGAAGGCTGGTGATATCTTCAGCATCTTCAAATTCTTCATCGGGAATGGCCATGTCAAGTTCATCAATCAAGAGTGAAGACGATCAAGAAGTTGCTCCCCTGAGGGATGTATCCCCGATTTCTTCACCAGACGAGAATTTGGAAGTCGATGTATTTTATCAATCTTCGCCACTACTAGAGGCCGCTTTCCCCAAGGGGTTGAACCAAAGACGAGGCATAGATATGCCTACAATTGGGCAAGACCCTTACAATTGTACCACCATTTCTGGTTCTTCACTGTGTTCCTCCAGCCAAAATGGCGGTTTTGAGGTTGAGCCGCAACCAATAAATAGCTTAGCCAGGTATAATAATGCTGGTGGCATGAATTCAGTTTATTATGGACTTGTTGATGGGGAGAATTCTAGTCCACCACAGTATCCATTCTCACTGTTAGGTGGTGGATTTTAGTCACTTTTTCCTTGATCTATTGGGTATTTTGCCTTTTTAGAAATTTCTGTTTTTTTTTTTTTCATGAAAAGAAAATGTTTGTTGTGCGTTAATGTTGTGTATACTAATTTACGTTTAATTAAATATGCACCTTGTATGTATTTTGTCATACAGATCTCGTGTAATTTCAGTATGCATGGCCGCAGTTAAGAGGATTTGGAAAATTACAATTTTTTTATAATTTAATTAATGTTCAAAATTAAATATTAATTTTAATCTTACATTTCATAGGAGTTACTATGATCCAGTTATACATTACTCATTATCAAATTATAACTTCCACACTTACAATTTTATTGTGTTTTTGAGTTTCTCCTCCATTGATAAATTGCTTATTTTCCTTTGAAAGGGTTCGTTATTTTACTCTTATTTTGCCTTTTTTTTTTTTACGTAAAAGCACATGTGTACTTGACTTTGACCACTTGGTTATCACCAACCAATCTCCTTTAATTTTTATTTAGCCTATATTTGGTATCTAAATTAAAGTTAACAATTAATTTTAACTACATATTTTATGGAATTCACAACTTTTTAATCACACATTTCATCAATTTTTATCAGAATATACTAAAAGTTTGATTTTAATCTCTACCTAATAAAGATTCAATATGTACTAAATTAGAGTAGTTAGACATAGTCAGTTTGGTCTTTACTAAATGAAGACCATACTATCATTAAGAAGAAGAAGAAGAAGAATACTATTCAACATCACTTATGTCAAACAGCAGTCTAAGAGGCAGTTGTATGACATTAAATGATAAATTCATTTAAATACAATATTGCATGATTCATTTAATTGAATATATCAAGTGTGACCATCTAGAAGGTGTTCTAGCATCACTAGTGCTAAATAACATTATTATAAGAAATGACTAATGATACGCATGTTGGTGTGAGCTATCATACAAGAATCAAATCAGATTATTTACAGAAATTATTTCATTGTAAAATCCCTGAATTGAATGGCCAACCATAATTATAGCCTTAGACCATGTATGCCTTAGAATGGCTTCCCGTGTATCTACATATACTCTTGTACTCTACTATTTCAAAATCTCCATCCTTCTGCAACCATGGCGGACTCTAGTCTCAACAACTGGACAACTAAAATAATAGAGGCTTTGACCAAAGTCAAGACCTCCTCTCAAACCCCATCTGATTCCTCAAATGCTTCTATTGGCATTAAGTTGGATGGTTCCAACTTCCAAATATGCTCTATGGTCCCAAGTTGTTGACATGTATATTTCAAGGAAAGACAAATTGGGATATATTACTGGCGACTCTCCACAACCTCTCGAAACCGATCCATCTTTCCGTAAATGGAGACCTGAAAATGCCATTGTCAAAGGATGGCTGATCAACTCGATGGATACCTCTTTGATTGGTAATTTTATTTGATTCCCAACTGCTAAACGAGTATGGGACTCAATTGCTACAACCTTTTTTGATGGGACTAATACATCCCAAGTATACGACCTTCGGTGTCGTGTAACTTGCATGAGGCAAGTGGGTGGCCATTGAAAAATATTACACTGACCTTCAAGGTTTATGGCACGAAATTGATTTTCGTTGACCTAACCCAATGAAATGTGCAGGGGATATTCAAAAATATTACTCCATTCTATAGGAAGATAGAGTCTATGTCTTCCTCGATGGCTTGGATGATCGGTTGGACAAGATTCGAAGTGATGTTCTACAATTACAACCCTTCCCTACAGTTGAACAGGCGTATGCTCATGTCTGACGTGAAGACATTAGGAAAAGAGTAATGACACCCAGTAGTGACATTGTTTTAGGTGCAGTTATGGCATCTAAAGGATTCAAACCCGGAAAACCAAAATCAAAACCTCAATCTGATGGAGTGAAATGCACCCATTGTGGCAACATGAAACATACCCGTGAAACTGCTTTAAGTTACACAGGTATATTGAGTGGTGGAACGATTTTCAAGCACAGAAAAAACGTGAGGGGATTAGCACAAATGAAAGGCACGGGGAGAGCAACTGTTGCAAGTGGAGAACCACAACCATCTCTTACTGTTCAACCAGAATCGACAAACCCATTCATACCCTTCAGTTATCAAGGTAACTGTGACAAGCTTTAGTTACATGTCATGATCACGATGAGAGCATGTATATTATAGTTTCTGGGGCTACTGACCATATTACTTTTGATTCTCATGATTTCGCACACATCACTTAGCCTAGGAGAAGTCGTATTGCAAATAATAATGGAGTCCAATATCCGGTCACAGGAGTGGAACAGTGGCCTTATCTTCATCTATTTCCCTAAACTATACTTTACTACCACCGTGTTAATGCTCCTTCCCCGGATCTTTGGCTGTGTTGCCTTCGTTCATCTCCATAAAAACCAACAAACCAAGTTGGATCCATGTGCATTACGATGTCTTTTCTTGGGATATGCTCTGCATCAGAAAGGATATAGATGTATTGACCCCATCACTAAACGAACATACATCACCATGGATGTCACCTTTCTTGAAGCAGAGACTTTCTATCGATCACCTACTGCCAAATCATCTCTTTAGGGAGAGCTTCAAGATGAAGATGTGAATTGGCTAGCAACAACATGGCTAGAATCAGAGGATGACTCAGAACAAACAAGTGATGGAAATACTAAGATAAGTCCGAGTGAGAAATGCTCTCCAATAGTAGAACTAACTCTTGAAGAATCATGCAATATGGAATGTAATGAAACACCTGCACCTGTCAGTGATATGGCTCCAAATGATGCAACAACAAGTGATGGTTCCCCTTCTTTAGTACCCGAAGGCCCCTCTCCTGAGAATATCACTGAGGTAAGTACCCCTGCCATATCCCATTTTATTGATAATATGAATAGTACTGTGCAATATGTATTGCCTTTTAGACATAACCGTGGGAAACTACCAAATCGATACTCTCTGGAAGTGGAAAATAGAATATCCAAATATCATATAGCCAACTATGTGTCCACTCACAGGCTATCGAAACCACTCAAGGCCTCTGCACATAAACTGTCCTCAGATTACATTCCTCGAAATGTAGAAGAGGCACTACTCGATCCACAATGGAGTTAAGCGATAAACGAAGATCTAAAGGCCTTATAAAAAGACGAGACTTGGAGGCTGGTCTCATTACCCGAAGGGAAAAAAGCAGTAGGTTGCAAATGAGTCTTCTCCATTAAAGACAATGCTGATGGACCCATTGACAGATACAAAGCAAAGCTAGTGGCAAAGGGGCACACAAAGACATATGGTATAGATTACCAAGAAACTTTCTCGCCGATAGCAAAACCAAACACTTTTAGAGTTTTGTTATCTCTTGCAGCAAATTTAGATTGGTTGCTACATCAAACGCATTCCTCCATGGTAATTTAGAAGCAGAAGTGTTCATGAACATTCTACCTGGGTACTCAGCAACTCCAGGAGACAAAGTAGTATGCAAACTACAAAAGGCCTTGTACGGTTTAAAGCAATCACCCCGTGCATGGTTCGGTTGATTCAATACAGCTACGAAAAATGTGGCTTTCAACAGAGTAACTTAGACTATAGCCTCTTCCTAAAGCACCAATCTGGAAAAGCAACATTGCTAATTATGTATGTAGACGACACGATCATTACATGTGATGGTAAAGAAGAAATTTCCAAGCTTCAAGAGCAATTGTCGACTAAGTTTGAGATGAAGAACCTTTGGGAACTCAAGTAATTCCTGGGAATCGAAGTATCCAGATCAAAACAAGGCATATTTTTATCTCAAAGGAAATATGTCTTAGACTTGTTATCTGAAGTGGGGATGCTAGAATGTAAACCAGCCGATACTCCTATTGTCCAAAATCACCAACTTGGGATATATACTGATCAAGTTCCCACGGACAAGGACAAATACCAAAGGATAGTTGGTAAGCTCATTTATTTATCACATGCTCGACCGGACATTGCTTACGCCGTAAGCGTAGTGAGCAAATTCATACATTGTCCTAGTAAAGCTCATATGAATGCAATAACTAGAACCCTTCGGTATTTAAAGTTCTCTCCTGTGAAAGGATTGATGTTTACAAAAAATGGTCATTTGAACGTTGATGAATACACCGACGCAGATTGGGCAGGATATATTTCAGATAGGAAGTTGACTTTAGGCTACTTCATCTTTGTAGGAGGTAATCTCGTTACTTGGAGGAGCAAGAAACAAAAAGTTGTTGCACTATCCAGTGCTGAAGCAGAATTTCGAGATATGGCTAAGGGTGTGTGTGAACTTCATTGGCTGAGAAGGCTATTGATGGAAATAGGCGTTGCTCCCAGCTTAGAAATGAACTTGTTTTGCGACAATAAGGCAGCCATTAACATCTCTAATAATCCTATCCAACATGATTGGGCTAAGCACGTTGAGGTCGATCGACACTTCATTAAACAAAAACTAGAGAAAATCATTCGATTTCCATTCGTCAAGTCAAAAGACCAGCTAGCGATTGTACTCACGAAAGCTGTATCCACCAGAAATTTCTACATCTCACTCGACAAGTTGGACATTAGATACTTCTATGCACCAACTTGAGGGGGAGTGTTGACGTGAGCCGTCATACAAAAATAAAATCAGATTATTTATAGAAATTATTTCATTGTAAAATCCCTCATTTAAATGGTCAACCATAATTATAGCCTTAGATCGTGTATGTTTTAGAACAGTTTCTTATGTATCTACATATACTCTTGTACTCTGCTATTGCAAAAATACAGAGAGAATAGAAACTTTTGAAAATGCAACACCATTGATGTCATGCACCAGTTTAGATGACATTGCATTGTATTAAATGATAAATTCAATTAAATTTAATGCCACATAATTTATTTAAGTAAACCTATCAAATATGATTACATATATTGATGTCAAATAACATTATTTTAAAAATATACTCAAAATTAATTAATTGCTATTACACAGTATAACAAAAAATTTACACAA